GAGGGAAAGGTTAAAGATGCACAAATCCCAAGAGGAGACTTTATCCTTGAAAGAATTAGAAAGACTAGCAAAGAAATGAAAAGGCGCTAACACTCTCACCATGGGACTCAGTGTTACTTCTGTCATGCAACAAATACGTCTTAGGGGCTGGAGGGGGGCTCAGTGGAGTAGCAGAGCCCTGGGTTCCATAGCCAGAAGGAGGAAGTGAGGAGGAGGGAGAGGGAGAGGGTGAGGAAGGAGAAGAAAAAGAAGAAGCCAGATGTGGTGGCACACAGCTGCATCCTGCATACATCATGGAAAAGACAGGCAAAGATCCCAGTTTTTCTAGAGCTGCCATTCCAGTGGGGAACAAGACAGTGAGTTCAATAAGCAATTTTGTGTATGTTAGGAGGAGCTTCGACATGAGGACACAGTGAATAATGGGGGTGGGGAAGAGGCACAGGTCTGTGCCTCCATGTCCTCCCTAGCTGGGACCTTGAAGGCCATTCTGCAAACTCTGAGTTAGCTTTTTTTAAGGGCACACTAAAGTTTATAACCATCACCTGTAATTACTCAAGTAAGGGTTTTGGACATAGTATCAAAAGAAGACTGTATGCTTTCCAAAATGACCACAACAGTCTCTCTCACCCCACCGCGCTCCTCCTCTTACAATGTGACTTTTACACTCCCCATCAACAAGCAGGTGGATGTGCTTTCCTTTGAGCCTGAGTCTGTTTGGACTTCAGTGGAAATAGCCCCGTGGGACTTCCAACGTCCGTTCATGATTCTCATGGGACACCCACCTGTGGAGCTCAGCCATCGTGCTGTGAGGAACCCCAGGCCACCTAGCAGAGGAAGCCATCACCAAGGAACGAGCCATGCTGGGATTACAGATGTGAGCCTTTGGTACCTGGCTCATTAGAAATTTTTAAATGGTGATTTTTCTATTAGTCTGTCTACATTCATTGCCTGCATTTTTTCTGTAAAAAGACCTTTACTTATACACTAGGTTGTTGGGTTTTTTTTTTTTTCCTTTTTGTCAGTAATGGGGTTTGAACTCAGGTCCTTGCACTTGCTAGGCAAGTGCTCTACTTCTTGAACCACACCCTTATCCTTTTTTGCTTTAGTTATTTTTCAGGTAGGGTCTTGAGTTTATGCCTGGGTCACAATCCTCCTATCTACACATCCCAAATAGCTGGAATTATAGGCACATACCACGATGTCCAGCTTGTTTGTTGAGATGGAGTCTTGCTAACTTTTTTTTTTCCTTGAACTGCAATCCTCCTGATCTCTACCTCCTGAGTAGGTGGGATTACAGAAGGTCAGCATTGCATCAACTCAGAATATGTGTTTCTAACAAAGTCCCCTGGTGACGCTGACACTGTCGATTTTAGGACCACTTAGAACTCCTGATCTTAGCTGGGCATTGGTTACTCACACCTGTAATCCTAGTTACTTAGGAGGCAGAGATAAGAAGGATCGTGGTTTGAAGCCAGCCTGGGTAAATAATTGAAGAAACCCTACCTTGGAAAAAAAACCAAAAAATAACCTTCACAAAAAAGGGCTGGTGGAGTGGCTCAAGTTGTAGGCCCTGAGTTCAAGCCTCAGTACTGCACATAAAATAAAATAAACCTCTTATCTATTTACATACAATTATAGAATTAAAAAAATGTAAAGTTGCATCAACACTAAAGTTACTGCTTGGCAAGTGTGGTGGCATAGGCCTGTGATCCCTGCACTTGGGAAGCTGAGGCAGGAAGAACTCAAGTTCAAGGCCAGACTGGGCTATGTAGCCAGATCCTGCTAGCAATCCTTACCCTGCAAAACAAATTGCTTATGTCCTCAGCATCGCCTCCAAATTTTCTTTCTCTTTCCAGCACGACCTGTCCTAGATTAAAAAGCGTGGTGGTTGTGGGCACAGTGGCTCACACATGTGATATCAGCTACTTGGCAGGTGGCAATCTAGAGGATCCAAGTTCGAGGCCAGCCTGGGTAAAAAGTTAGGGTTCTTAACAAATACGTGAGGTGTGGTGGCTTGTGCCTGTCATCCCAGCTATGCAGAAGGCATCGGTAGGAGTGTTGTGATCCGAGGCTGGCCCCAGTCAAAAATTGTGAGACCCTATCTGAAAAATAACCAGAGCAAAAAGGGTGCAGGTGGTGCAACTGCCTAGCAAACATGAGGCATTGAGTTCAAACCCCACTACTGCCAAAAAAAACAAAATGAAAGCATGGTGTTATGATCATGACAGAATCTGCCTTATTCAGAGTTTTTATTCCCTGGCCCAACCACCTAATACATGTTAAATGAGAAATGGAGGATGGATCAATTCCAAACAAACCAAACAACTCAATTTTTAAATTATAAGAAGTAATTTGTGTTGGGTGCCAGTGGCTCATGTCTATAATCCTAGCTACATGGGAGGCAGAGATCAGGAGGATTGTTGTTCAAAGCCATCCCCGGGCAAATAGTTCAAGAGACCCTATCTCAAAAATACCCAACACAAAAAAAAGGGCTGGCAGAGTGGCTCAAATGGTAGAGCACCCGCCTAGCAAGTAGGACACCCTAGTTCAAACCCCAGTGCCGCCAAAAAAAAGCAATTTGAGTCAGGCTTGGTGGTGCATGCCTACAATCCAAGCACTCAGGAAGTAAAGGTTGAGAATTCAAAGCCAGCCTGGAACTGGGCACTGGTGATGCACGCCTGCAATCCTAGCTACTCAGGAGGCAGAGATCAGGAGGATTGAGGTTCACAGCCAGCCTGGGAAAATGGTTTCTGAGGCCCTTTCTCGAAAATACTGATCACAAAAAAGGGCTGGTGGAGTGGCTCAAGTGGTAGAGCACCGGCCTAGCAAGAGTGATTCCCTGAGTTCAAACCCCAGTACCATCAATCAATCAATCAATCAATCAATGAATAAAGCCAGCCTGGGCTACATAGTGAGATGTATTTCAAAAACAATTAAAATATTTGCACGTAAGCAGCAATCCTAATGTCTCAGAAACTGGTGGTTACAATTCCAAAAAGATGAAGGTATTTTCCCTCCTAAATGCAGCTTACAAGTCACCATGAAATTTTTTGATCCTGTATAAATTAAAAATCACTTGTTGCTAGATTGGTGGAGTGGCTCAAAGTGATAGAGTGCCTGCCTCGCAAGTGTGAGACTCTGGGTTCAAAACCCAGTACCAAAAAAATCACTTTGTTGGAGGAATTAGCTTAATTTAAAAGCTCATGGATAAAAGGCTTAAATTTTTATTTTAAAATTTTCATTTGTTTTTATCAGAACTGGAGTTGGAACTCAGAGCCTCATGCTTGCTAGGCAGTGCTCTACAACTTGATCCACTCTTACCAGTCCTAACTTTTATTTATTTATTTGGCAATAGAAAGGAAGGATTTATTAGCAAAGTGAAAGCATACTTCCAGGCGTTTGGTGGGCAGTTGGTTAGGGGCTGACTGCCAAGAATTTTAATTTTCTTTTTGTTGACAGTACTGGTGTTTGAACTCAGGACCTTCTGCTTGCTGGACAGGCACTGTACTACTTGAGCCACTCATCCAGCCCTTTTTCCAATAGGGTCTCGAGTTTTTACCAGAGGTCAGCTCAGACCACTATTCTCCTACCCATGCCTCCCAAGTAACTGGGATTACAGAAGCAAACTACTTCCCCAGCTATTAGTTGAGATAGGGTCTTACTAACTTTTTGCCCAGGCTGGCAAAAATGATCAAATCTCTATCCTTCCAATCTGTCTCAGTCTCCCATGTAGCTGGGATTATAACCATGAGCTACTACATCTGGCAAAATTTTTAATTTTTGTTGACTGATAGTTGTATATATTTGTGGAAACAATGCAATGCTTCCATGCATGTATATATTTACGATGAGAAACTCGGGCTAATTAACATATCCCTCACCTCACATACTTATAATTTTAGGGGTGAGAACATTAAAAACCCACTCAGCAATTTTACAATTTTTGTTTTTGTTGTCCACGCAGGCCTGGAATTCCTGGACTCAAGTGGTCCTTCTGCCTCAGCCTCCTACGTAGCTGGAAATACAGGCGTGCACCAACATGCCTGGCACTTCCAACAATTTAAAAATGTAGTCATTATTTGCCTGCACGATGACAAGCTGATAGTCCCTGCTACCTGGGAGGATGAGGCAGGAGGATCGCTTGAGCCCAGGAGTTCCAGACCAGCAGGGGCAGCACAGGGCGACCGTATCTTCATAAGTGAACGAGTGACTAGATGAAAGAAACATACATCATTATTAAATTAACTATTGTCACTTCGCGGTGCACTAGATAAACCAGAACTTATTCCTCCTGTCTAAATGAACAAATCATACTCTCGATCCTTTTAGTATAGCACGATTTCAAATGCACACCATTCCAACAGCTTGGAGTAGCATCTTATACAGATGCAGAAACTGACACTTAGGGAGGAAGAGAAGGAGGCTGTATGACTTGCCCTGAAGATCCAGGATTGGAGAATCAATCTCCAGTTGCAAAGCTCATTCCATTACATAGTAGCAACACGCAGGCAGGAAACTAAAGTGTCCCTGGAGCTCCCTCCCCAGAGCTCGAACCTGCAAGTGGAGGGCGCCCCCGGGACATTCGTGCCCAGGACGCTCGGGTCGCAGTGCGCAGGCGCCGCGCGCCCGTCCCGCCCCCGCCCCCCTCCACGTGCGGCGCACACCTCGCTCTTTCCTCGGCAGGGCTCGCCCCGCGCCTCCCTGCCTCCCTTCTCCCGCCCCTCCGGTCCTGGCCTGCCATTGGCTGAGGGCTTCGTCCCTCCGACCGCAGCCCGGCAGGCCCCCGCTAGGCAGGAAGTCCCGTCCTACGAGCGGCTATCCGTCCTGAGGGTTGGTTCAAGTGGCTGTCACTCGGGGCCGTGGCCCAAGTCGGCGGCGGGGGCTCGCGGTCCGCGAGCGACCCGGACTGGCGGTGGTTTCCGGTTCCGCGGGGCTGGCGGGCGGGCGGGCAGCCGGGAGCGGCGGCGGCGGCGCCTGACAGACAATGAGGGCGGCGGGGAGGCGCTGAGCAGCGGCGGCGAGCGACGCGGGGCCCGGGGGCGGGGCGGGACGCCAGCCATGGACAATCAGGTGAGGAGCGGCCGCGCCGCCCGGGCGCAGCCCGCCCGGCCCCCTCCCTTCTTCCCTCCGCCCGCCCGCCCTCCTGCCCGGCCCTCCTTGGTCCCGGCCTCCCCGCCCCCGCTCCGCTCCCGTCTGCCCCGCTTTGTGCTCGTCCGCCGCTCCCCGGGCCTTTATGCGGGTGGGGCGCCCCTCCCGATTCGCGACCCCAGCTCGGTCTGAGCGTCTCAGAGTCCCATAGGGACCCCAGTCTGGTTCAGAACCCCCTGGGACGGCCCTCGGATCCGTAGTGCGATCCTGAGCCCCCTGGGGAGCTCATCCTGGTCCAGGACTCTTTGAGATGCTCCTCGGAACCCCAGGCCGAAGATGCCTTTGGAGACCCCAGGGAGACCCAGAGTTCCCACAGACAGCTCTGGGGTCCCCAGTCTAGCCCCAAAGCTCCTTTAGATTCCTCTACCCCCACCTCCTCCCCAGATTTGGCCTGGGCCCTTTTTCCCCCTTAGAATCCAGGGCCAGTGCATGAGTCCTTTTCTCTGGAACCTTGACCCGAGTCTCTTCAAACTCCACGAACCCTCAACCAGCTTCCTGTTCCCCCTTCAGCTTTGAGCCTCCCCCACCCCCCATCACCTCCCCTCCATCCTTCCAGGAACCCAGGCCCAGCTTAAGCCATCTTTCCTTTGGTTGCCAGCCTGGTCTGAGCCTCCCCTCCCCTCTAAGCCAACTCCTGCCATATCAGAACATCCCTTTCACCTCACACCCTGATTAGGGCCTGAGCTACCTTGTCTCCCTGGGACCCCAGCCTTTGCCTTTTGCTACAAGGACTCAGGCCTGGGTAGTGTCTCCTCTTTCTGGACTCAGCCCTGCTGCCTGGTCCTTCTCTGTTTTCAAGGTTTTGATCGTTCTCCTTTGGACCACAGGACCTAAGAGGCTTATCTTCCCTTCAGACTCTTCTAGTAGACCAGGGCCAGGGGTAGTTTCTTCTTTGACCTGGTACCCCCTAAACCCTTCAGACCCCTGCCCTATTTCCCTCAGCTTGGACCCTTTTTGCCTTTGGACTCTGATTACACTTACCCACGTTTCACCCCAGTTCAGATCTCTTGTCCCAGTCAGGATCCTCTGATCTCAGCTGGCCTTGTTTCAGTCCCACAACCTCCCCTCAGGTCCCCTCAACGTCCCTCACCCTTTACCCAACCCCCACTCACACTTTCGGGGTCTCCCACTCTATCCCAGCACCCCCTGGCCTGACTCATTTTTCAACCACTCCCCTCTCTCCCTTGTTTTCCCTTCCTTCCCCAGCAACTCAGAGGCTCAATCCAAACCCAGGTGGATTCCCCACCTCCCTAAAGTCCCTTGGGCCCCTCCCCTTCAAGTCTGGAAACTACCCCATTTCCAGTCCTGTTGGTTCTTGTAAAACCTGACGCCTTTCTGGCCCCTGGTTTCCCTGTCACCCAAGTAAGCGCCTTTCCTTCTTCCTCAAACCAGTGCCACTGCTACCCCCAACTCAGGGTCACCTTTTCAACCTCCTCTGCCACCTGGCTTTCTGGGGCAGGAGGCCAGGGTGCGCATTGTGGGCCTGTGGGGGTGGCAGCCGAAATCTCCTCTGTTAGCAAGGGCAGGTTAGGGCGTCCCTGGCTGCTGGCGCCATGGAGGCGCCTCTGTCTGGTAAGGCGCTGTGCAGCTGTGTGGTTTTCAGGGGCTGAAGCAAGGGGTTGGTGCTTCTGGTCCCTACTCACCATGGCTGCCCTGCTGGCTTTGGTGTGGCCTGTGTCTGTGAAGAGGTGAGGGAGGGGGATAGCACCTAGTTGGTGGATCCACATGTTGTGGTGTGAGTTAATTTCCCTCAGACACAGTGCTTGCTGCTTCTGATCCTAGTTGAGTTAACCAAACAAAATGTTCCTGAGTGTCCACTGTCACTGAAGTTCACTCCTGGAAAGTCTCATTTGCTACCATAGAGGCATAGAGAATGGCCCCTGTCCCCAGAGCCCCTGACTCCTCAGAGATCTTTGCCATTCCCCTTGTGATGTGCTGGGCCCTGAATGTCTGCCTGGCTGTACGTGGGATGGTGGGAAGAGGTGGCATTCTTGCTCTGTGACAGAGGGAAAGGTCCTGCTCAGGTGGCCCAGTTCAGCAGCCACCAGCACCTGTGGCTGTTTTAAATTTTAGGCAAGCAGTGTAAAAAGTCGAGCCTCTCGGTCACACTAGCCACCTTTTAAGTGCTCAGTAACCACCAAGACTGAGCTACTGGCCCTCTGTGGGTGGGGTTGGGGGGAAGGGGACTGCACAAACGGGACATTCCACCAGTGCAGAAAGTTCCACCTGACAGCCCTGGTCTAGGTCCTTGGGGAAGCACTGGTAAATGGAGCTGGTCCCAGAGGAAAGGAGGTGCTGATCTGAAGTCTGACTCTCCCAGCTGCAATTCCGTGCAGATTTGGGAGAGACCAAAAGCTCTGTCCCTTGCTAACAGAAAGACCCTTGGGGATGTGGGAGAGTGGTGTCATTTACCCAAGTAGGTGGGTTGGCTGTGAGTGTTCAGAGCAACTGGGCACACAGGAAGCACTTTGAATTGGCAGAATCTCAGCCTCTGCACCCCTGGGATGCCTCAAACCTGTAAATGCTTCATTGTCGTGGGAGCCCACAGCTTTTCACTTGGCTCTCACTGGCTTTGGGGACTTTGCTTCTCTTACTGTTCTGATTTGACCTTCCCCTAGGACTTTGAGGCCCAGTTAAGAAGTGAGGTTTCCCATTTTGGGCTCCCAGCTTCTCTGCACTGACATCTCCGCCATGGCCAGGAGAATGTCCCTCTGGTTCTCTGCCCCATCCCTAACCCCATAGGTCTGATTCCCCTTTGGCGCATTCCATGTCTGAGCTGGTGTTGTCTATGGATCTGTATTTTTTCTTTTTGGCAGGGATGTGAGTAAACTGCTCACTTAGAAGCAGTGCCTGGGAGGAGCATGGTTTATCTCCAGGGCTGGGTGGGGAAGGGACCAACTTGTGACTTGTGACCAAGACTGCTTGGACACTGGCAAGATTGGAAAGGATCTGGGAGCAGATTGTTGGGTACTGGAGTTGCTCACGTTGCTGGGAAGGGTGTCAGCAGCTGAGCAGTGCTGTTCCCCAAAAGGCCCAGGGAGTCGCCTTCCCAGAAGGGTGGGCCTGGCCTCTGAGGTGGGCAGCAGCAAGAAAGATGAGACAGTGGCGTTGCGCTTCCAGTTCTCCACGCTCCTGCCACAGTTGGGCCTGGAGAGCATCTGGAGAGCAGCTGCTCTGTGATGATGTTCTGGGAGGTTTGCTTCTGATGCTGTGGCCAGGAGCAGCCCTCTGGCCACCCATTTTACAGATGTGGACGTGCAGGGCATGAGGGCCTGGAAAGGGTCAAGGCGACTGGGATTCTTCTCTGCACTTTTCCCCAAGCTTTCAAAGAAAAGCTTAGCATTACCCAGAGCACTGGCCTCAGGGCGACTGATCTGCTCCTCCTCCCAGCTCTGAAGCCTGAAAGGTGTAAAGAAAGCACTGAGGTCAGGGACCTGCATCCTTTTCCCATTTCCATCATCTTAGTCATCCTACTTTGCCAAGTGTGGGTTCAATAAAAGTGACCAGGAATTTGTTTTCTTGCAACCAGGCCCTGCGGGCTTGGCCATGGATGCATTGATTGAGGTTGTGCACATTCAAAAACAGCCACCAACCCTGCTCCCCCTGCCCCTGGGAGACACCTGGAACACTGTCTACACACAAGTGGGCCTCCCCTCATAGTGACTGTCAATCTTTCCAGGAACCTGAAAACTGAGGATTGGGGTGTGTTTGCATGTGCACACGTCTCCCTACCAATCTTAGAGGGTTCTGGAGAGAAATGCATCAAGCCCCTTCTCTTCTCTTTGGCATTAGCCTGTGCCCTGGGTCAGAGGGAGAGTGGATGGAGCCAGAAAAGGAGTGGAGTATGGCCAGCCAGTCATGGCCCCCAGTGTACCATACGTTGCTTAGGGAACAGGGCCTGGGGCAGCTGCGTGAGAGCAGCAGTCCCCAACATCTGGGTTTGTCTCTGCCTTCTAGGCAAGCAGTCCTCTACTTTGGAGGATTGGCAGGCACAGAGGGGCAGCCATCCTTTCCCCTTCATTCTTATGTTCCAAGTCAGTGGCTGCACCTGAGAGTTCCCAGCTGGGCCTGGAGGGAGAATGTTTGCACAGTGCAGTTTATTTGGTCTTGTTTTACCACTGTCCTGTGAGATTACCCAAGCCCAGTTACCTTTCCTGCTAGTGTGTGTGCAGAGCATGCTACCAGCAGCTGTGCGAGGTCCGGGTGGACTGCAGGACCCGTTGAGGCTGATGAGGGAGGAGACTTGGTGCTTTCTCCTCCTGAGAGGGGAGGGATCAGTGCATCCTAGGGAATTAGGTACAGCAGCCAAACGGCAGGCATAATTATACCAAATGGTAAAGTGTGAGTTCCCAGAGGAGTGGGCATTTGCTGGAAAGAATTCACACCAGAGAATCTGGGGAGATCTTACAAGTTAATTGCGGGAGACCTGCTGCCTGGGGCTCAGGCTTAGGGGAGGGTTCATGGGAAGCTGGATGATGGACAGAGCAGATGAAGAAAGGGCTTTGAGTTGTATGGAGCCGATTAGATGAGGCTCTCTTCCCTTTGCCAGATGAGGCCATTTCTATCTGCACCCAGAAAAAGCTGTACTAGAAGCCAGGGTCTGAGGCCGCCCTCTGGTATCTCTCTGCCTGCTTGCTCCATAGGATTCTGGCCTTTTGGTTTTAAGTGCCCTCTGCCAGCTGGCCTTGATAATGACAGTGTCCCAGTTGAGGTGTCCTGCCCAAATTTCACTGTCTCCAGTGGCCCTTGGAGCCCTTGGGCCACCCTGTCCATCGCTTTCTGATAGTCTTCCAGAAGTAAAGTGTCTAACATTTCCAGGGCAGGACCAGAAGGCCCCTTTGTTCTGGGCTTTTGTTGGGGAGTGGGCAAGGTAATCCCCATGTACACAGGGAATTGGCACCCACCAAGGTCACTTGCCTCCATCCATTCCAGGGGTTCTGCAAAGTAGCCTCCAGGCAGCAGGTGGTCCTGATCCCTTGGAGGAACCTGCTGGATTGAGGAGTCCTTGTAGACGAGTTGAGGGATAGTTACTGGCAAGTAAGAGCATTTGTCCCGAGAGGCCCTTGCCTATCCCAGCACCACTCATCCTCACAGTCAGGCACCCCTCTAGAGAATCAGCTGATTGTTTGCCTCAAGCCTTTGCTTCTGGTGGTGGGCTGTGGAAGGAGTCCAGGTAGAGTAGAGGAAGGAGGAGGTAGGACCCTTGGCTATGGAAATGGACTTAGCTGTGCTAATAAACCATCATGACCTGACACGTCAGAATGGCTGCCAGGGCTCCACTTCTTGCTGGCCTCCAGTTAGTGTAACTCGAATGTCCTACTGAATAAGTGGCTCCATTACAGCAGAGGCACAGACTCTGTTGACCATCCTTATCTTAGGAGGTTTCAGGGGAGTGTGCCTCAGTGGGTGCACCAGGGAGGGAGGTCGGCTGGGAGCCTTGATGCTGCCGCACACCCTTAACAGGGAGTCATGGCCACAGTTGGCGCCAGCCCCCGGGGCATAGATGTCACAGGCGGTGCTGGGGTTCAGTCTGCTGGCTATGATGATTACCCAGCACCGCCTTGGAATCTTCCTGTTTACTTTGGCCTCTGCAGCGCAGTTTTGGCGCCTACATTCTCCCCTGCTCCAATGGAACTGTGGTCTTCCATTCTTTCGCAATAACTGCCCTGCTGCTTGCATGCCCAGGGTTGGAACTCCATGTCATCAAAAATGCCAGAAAGGCAGCCGAGGCCTGAGCAGCCGGTTGGCACATACCTGACTTCAAGAAGACAATCTCATTACAAGGAGTTAACTCCAAAGGAGCAGATGGTGTGTCCTGTGTAATACCGTGTTGTTACAAGTTACAAGTATTTAGTGCTCACCTGTGGACCCCCACACACAACCCCAACTGTTCCAGGAGTGGCTCCTGTTTCTCAGTGTTGAAGCAGGTTGGAGGGGAAGGCAGAGGCTGGCTGAACGAAGTGTGTGTGGTGATTACAACCCATTAGGGGCAATGTAAATGTTGTTTGGGGTTTGTTTCTGTTGAACATTCTTCACATGCACTGCTATTCAAACAGATGCTTGTGGTCGATTTTAGTATTAACTTACTTACCCATATGGAGCTGTTCCTCTTCTCTCGCTTTATTATTATTTCTTAGTGACAAGGTTTTACTAACTTGGCCTATGTTAGTCTGGAACTCTGCATCCTCCTGCTTCAGCCTCCTTAGTGCTGGGATTACAGGTGTGCACAACCATTCCCTGCTTCATCTAACTTGTGGTGGGGGTATTTCCACTTGGATGTTCCTTTGGTACTCAGACATGTGAGCACTGCTCTTCCATTCCTCTCCCTCCCCATCCTCCCTGACAGAGCCATCAGCTCTGCTACCTGGATCTCAGTGTTACCGACTCTCCTCCCTCTGATCTGGCTGGCTCTCTTCTTTTGGCCTCTCTACCTCTCTTTCCAGCCTCTCCCTCTGGTTGCCTCCCAGCTGGCTCCTTGCTGCTGTTCAGTTGCTTCTCTTCTTTTGCCCATACTTTGCACAGATTGCAGAGCACTTCTTCTCAGACACTGTCTGTGTGCCCATGACCCAGTCCGTCATTCCTGCCATGCCTTGTTCTTCCCTCCACTGCCTTACTGAGTCACTGCTCTTTTCCTGGGAGCCCCAAAGGGACCATCGTCCTGAGCCAGGAAGCTCTTTCTGCCCCATTTCCTTTTTTAAATTAATTTTCAAAGTGATGAATAAAAATCGTGTACATTTATCATGCACTTATTTATTTTTTTTTTTGAGGTTCTGGGGTTTGAACTCAAGCCTCGAGCATGTTGAGCACACATATTTTACCACTTGAACCCTGTCTCCAGTACTTTTTTCTTTTAATTTGCTTTTTAATTGATACATAGAACTTGCCCTGTTTCTCACACCCAGCTGGCTAAGTGCCTGGAGCCCCAGTCTTCTATCTACCCTGTCCTCATCTGCTCTATGGCCCTTTTGTCTTGGAAAGCACTCTGCTCCACAGAGCCGTGTGACCTGGAAGTTCTCTGGTTAAGTTAATCCAGTGTTGCTGATGCACTGTGTGCCACGCTTCCAATATAGAGATGATAAGTCTGGTCCCTGCCCTCAGACTTCTCAGAGGCCTGGGGGAAAGCAGCCTAGGAGCAGGGGCAGGATGACGGAAGTAGCCAGGAGTTGTCTGTGGGCTTCACTGATGGCTGCTTGCCGTGCAGTGACCCAGAGGACCCTGAAGGAAGGAGCCCTTGAGCTGGGACTTTAGGAACCAGGATGACTTTAGCCAGCAGAGAAAAGAGCTTAGGGGACTGTAGGCTGTGATACACAGGCAGTCAGGGGTGGGTATCTGTATGTATTTGGAGCCAGTCTGATTGAGCCGGAACACAGGTATATGCATTTCCTGTGTTTCCTATGTTCTGACATGCTGAGACACGCTACCAACTTAGTACCACCTTCACTTGTACAGCCATGTATACACAGGCAAGGGCTGGAGACCTGCAAAGTATGAAACATACATGTGGACACCCAGATGCATTCTGACTTCAAAAGAATTGCCCAGTGAAGATAGCTGAGTATCCCAGACTTGTGGAGTGCACAGGTGCAAGAGAGTGGGGACCTCATTCTGAGGGGTGGCAAAGTTGCAGGAATGGAGAGGGAGGGAGGCCAGCCAGGCATGGGCACCCAGCCAGGTGGGTTTGAACAGAGACAGGTCAGGACCACACACAGTCCTTTAGTGAAAAACAATGTTGAAAGACACAGATGGGCCCTCTGGTTCTGGGGCCAGGGAGGGTGCCTGTGGAGGGGAGGGCTGGCCAAGCTGGTGCGTGGGAGTTCCTCTCCTACTCAGGCCTGGGATTGCATCCTTGCTTATCTGGGCATTTTGTACCAAGTGTCCACTTGGTCTCTGCTTCCTTTTGTAACACTTTGAGGGCTGGTGGAGTGGCTCAAGTGGTAGAGCACTTGCCTAGCAAGTATTGATGCCCTGCGTGAAAACCTCAGTACCCAAAAAGAAAGTCCTTTTGTAACTTTCGTTTGCTACTAGGTGTCAGAGTTGTGTCTGTTAAAGTCTGGGGAGGTCTTTACAGAGTGGTGTTTACAGGACCTTCCCTGTCTATGCCTGCCTAACTGTGATGAGTGCTTTGAAGGCTGGGGGCTGCCTTGTTGTGGGCACAATGTCAGACTCATGCAGCATGGAGGGAGCCCAGGTGCAGAGGCTGCAGGTCGACCTGGGACCTGTTATTGGGTGGCTGCATGTCTCATTAGGAACCATCCTTTGTGCTTTTGAAATGGAAAGCCCATGTTTGCTGAGAGAAGGGCTCTGTGCTCATGTCTTGGGGCTTGAGTATGAAAGCCCTAGCATTGAGGTGCTTCGATGGCTTTGCTAAGGAGGCGGGATGGCAGATGGTCAGAGAGCGGCCATGGAGTATGCAGACCTGGACTTAAATACCAAGCCCTGCTCCTAACTAGCAGGGACCTTATGTGTGCTGCTTAGCAGCTCGCTGTCAGAGCCTCAGTTTCCCCATTCACATTGTACTCATGCAACAGTTGTATTCATTGAGAGCTCAGTGGGAATTTCCCTTTCCCCCCAAGAGCTGATGTTGGGGGAGCAGGTGGCCAGCTCAGAGGCAAGGACGTGATGGAGAACTTCAGGGGCAGGGTGGGGGTCTTCAGGAAGACTCTGTGCAGAGTGAGAAGCTGAGGGGAAGAGCACAGAGGCGGAGTGGCCAGAGGCCACTGGGCTGGGCTGTCAGGAGGACCAGGAGGAGGATGTGGACGCAGATGGAGGAGTGGTGGGCTGGTGTGCAGCAGGGGAGATGGGCACAGAGCCTCTGCACAGTGCTGGGGCTGAGAAGCCCCTGGAAGCGTCTGCCATCTCCTTCCTGGTTTGGAATTATATTGCATGATGTGGGGGTACCCCAAAGATGAAGGGACAGAACAGCTTGGCACAGTTGCATACTGACCTTCCTGCCTCTCTCTTCCCCAGTGCACAGTCCAGGTCAAGTTAGAGCTGGGACATCGAGCCCAGCTGCGCAAGAAGCCCACTACAGAGGGGTTCACTCATGACTGGATGGTGTTTGTCCGTGGCCCCGAGCAATGTGAGATCCAGCACTTCGTGGAAAAGGTGGTCTTCTGGCTGCATGACAGCTTCCCCAAACCCAGGCGCGGTGAGTGGTCCAGCCTTGTCCCATCTGCATTGTTCCCCAAGGTGATCCATGTGCTTTTCCTGGCCCTTCCACGTGGAGTGTGGAGGCAGCAGTGGGAAGAGTGGAAGAGGTGGTAGTAGTGGGTCATCCCTCAGACCCTGGCTCCAAGAGGGGCAGGAGGGTGCTGCAACCCTCTGGTGACTAATCAGGAGACTGCTTGCCAGGCATACATGCAGTTTGCAGCCATTGTAAGAGTTGATAATATCTGCAGGGTAGAGACTATGAGGGCCCCTTTACTGCTGTCTGCTCTCCTACACAGCTCCCTTCCCCACTGCACGCTTTATTTAGGCTGCCCCGTCTGTGCCCCACCCACCTATGACACAGCAGCCCTTGTCTTCTTGGGGTACACAGACTGATGGAGCAGTGTATGATCAGAGATGACTTTGGGGAAGGGACCCCTCTCTTTTCCAGGAAGACTAGTGGAAGAATCTGGGGACAAGTGGTCCCTTCTGGGTTTAGGGGCCATAGCTGGCTCTGGTTTTCTCACCATAAAGGCCCCAGGGTGATGCTTAGGGCCACACATATCACAGAGTCCTTTTTTTTTTTGGCAGTACTACCACTGAGCTAGAGGGCCAGCCCCACTGTAAACATTCATTTCTTGAATGAATGTGTTGATAACATAAGGAAGACCTTTCTTGTGGCAAAGATTTTGAGGGGTCGGGGGAGAGCCATTGCCAGGCTGCTGACCCTGACCCTGCAGCAAAGTGGTCCAGGGCTCTGGAAGGAGCTTATGAGCATGCCTACAGGTGACTTCCTGTGGAGTGGGAAAGATGGATACCACCAAAGTAGAAACTGTTGCTTCCAAAGGGCGGTGCACTTGAGGTTCCTAGCAACGGTCTTTTTTTTCTGTTATTTTTTTTTCCCTTCAGCCTTCAGCTATTCCTTTCCCTCCTCATTTCTCTCTCTGCCTTCCACTCTCCTTCCCTCTCCTGTTTTCTTTCCTCCCTTGTGTTTTAGAAGATGTCTTAGGGCAGACATTCATGAAGCACTTGCTGATAAAAAGAATACCTACCATTAGTTTAACACTTCCTGCTAGGCTCTTTTCCTAGGTGGGACATGCTCCAATCTGGCCCAGAGGGGCAGGCTGGCAAACTGTGTCTGAGGCCAGTGCAACCACTGCTGGATTTTACTGGCATGGCTGTGGGCATCTGTTGAGGTGTCCTTGTCCATGAGGATGACAGAACACAAGCTGTGGCTATCCCTGTCCTGCTCTGGGGCCTCTGCCTTCCCTGCAGCATCCACTGCAGTCGCCTGTCCTGTCCCTTCTCTCCTGTCCTCACGGTGTGGTGAGCCAGAATTAAGAGCTGGCTCATCCTTGTTCCCCATCATGGCCGTGACTGAACAGCCCCAAGAATTCACATGATAACTTCTACACTACTACTCACTTTTCTTGTGTGACCTGTGCTATGCCTATGTTCTTGGTAGCAGCCCTGTCCCTTCTCAGGAGCCCATGGATGGAAATGGAGGTGATTGTAGCCCAGGCATGTCCTTTGAGCTCTAAGTCTGAAAGATGTTTTGGTGGGTGAGCTCACTGTGCTCCACTGACAGTTTGGGTCTCCTTTGCCTTAGTAGCTGAGGCCTGTTTCTCTCGCTGGGCAGTAGGTGCAGGGCGACTGTGTCAGGTAGATCCCAGAACAACTACCTGCTCAGTAGACAGATCAGAGCCACTACTCAGGCCATCACGTGCATTGCAGATCACTACCCAGTTCAACAGGCGTGTCACAGTGTCACAGTCTGCATCCTCAGTCTTTGGATCAGGGAGTGGAGCTCATGGTTTTCATCTTACCCACTGTCAGTAAACAGTGGATCAGCTCTTAAGAGAGGATGAGGACTTCTTAGAGGACTCTGGCCTTTGAAGTGCTACTTTACTTATTAAAAAGTGTCTTTCACATCAAATACGCACACATTGTAACAAAGCAAGCAGGACAGACACCATCCTCTGTACCACTCCTCCCACTCCACAGAATTTTTTTTTTTTTTTTTTTTTGAGACAGTGTTTCACTATTTAGCCCAGGCTGGCCTCAAACTCACCATCCTCCTTTCTCAACATGTTATAGGTATTATCTGTCAACCTCCCCCTCCCCCATAAGAGGCTGTGTCTTCGGTTTGCTGCTTGGCTTGGTTTGCTGTGACCCCAGTGCCTGTGAGGATGCTGTCATCCCTTGCTGGGTGTTCACTGAGTACATGGATGGGCTCTTCCACACTGTCCACTTTGGCCATTGGCTTCCTACTTCCAGTGAGGAAGATGTGGACCTTTGATAAGGACCCCTGGCTCCTTGAACTGCCAATTGTCCCCTGTCCAGAGCTGCACTCCAGGCTCGAGGTGGACTCTGAAGCTGGAGGTGGCACTGAGCGTGCACTGACTGATGGGTCATGCTGGCCAGGTGCTGGGGCTTCATTCTTCCTCTCTGTGTCACACATGCTGAACTCTGGGCCACTCAAACAAGACTGCTCAATGTCATATCAAGGCCAGATCTTTTCAGTCAGTTCTTGTTTAAAATTTGGCTTCATATTAGTTTGCTTCATATTTGGGCTGTGACTCTTTTTGGGGGGTGGAGGGGTTGAGACAGTGAGTCACTGTGCAGCACAGATTGGCTTGGTATTGGTGATTCCCCTGCCTCAGCCTCCTGAGTGTAGATTTTTTTTTTTTCTTTTTTTTGACGGTTTTGAGGTTTGAACTTGGGACCTCCTGCTTTCTAGGCATGCACTCTACCACTTAAACTACCTCCCAAGCCTCTTTTTGCTTTTTAGTTATTTTTCAGATAGGGTCTTTGCTGTTTTTTTCTTGGGTCTGGCCTCAGAGTGTGATTCTCCTATTTATGCCTCCTCCATAGCTGGGATCACAGACGTGACCACCACGTCTGGCTTGTTGGTTAAAATAGGGTCTCACTAACTTTGCTGATGCTGGCCTGGAACTGAAATCCTTCCTGTCTTCCCTCCTAAGAGTAGCTGGGATAATAGGTGTGTGTCACTAATGTCAAGCTTAAGGCAATAACTTTTTGAATAACCCTTGGTTCTCCCTTTTGATTTATGTCTTCATCCTGTCTTTGTTTTTCCATCTTTTTATTTATTCTCTGGGCTTTTTTCTTTGTCTTTGTCTTCCCTATCAGATTGAGTCCTTTGACGTTGCCTCCCTAGCCATCACCTGGGCCTTTTCTCCATTGTTCTCCTGGGAGGATTTATTTATTCCCCTTTGTTTTGGTTTATTTCTTCCTTTAGTCGAACAGTTTCTCAGGTATTGTCCCAAGAGGTTAATTACTTAAGAAATTTCCTGAAAGCGCTGGTCAGACTACTGAGTGCTAGCATGTGGGAAGATGCTATTGTTCTTCATGCAGGGTTGTGAGATAGTTGGGTTGGGTGTCACATTCTGTGTTGGGAATTGCTAGAATTACTGTCACTTTGAACCTGGAAAGTGCCACTTTACCTTCTGAGAAGCCAGGCTTCTGGGCCCTTCCTCCCTGGCAGTATCTTTCGTCCTTCTACAGAAGCACTTGAGAGGTTTTGTGTGACATTGCTTCTGGACTTTTGTTGTTGTTCATTGCATTTTGTGACATCTGGTGTCTTTTCTTCTAGGTCTGAGATGGTTTCCTTCATCTCTGGGTTTCCTTTATTTTCCCTTTCTGGGTGCTTAACATAAAACTTCCTCATGCTGAGATCCTCCGTGTAGTGAGAATAGATGTCTCTGTGCATGAGGTCGTCTAGGATAAAGGGGCCATTCCTTGTTCTACAGTAGCCACTAGGAGATGGTAGCCCCCATCAACTGAGTTAGTGAAACTTCTCACACATTTCTTCACCGTCATTTTCTAAACAATGTGTCCTTTTGCTGTACTGGCTGGGAGATGTTGTTTATCATCCACTCATGCCGTTGAATGAAAAATTTGCGGGGGATTGCTAGGGGTGGGCCCCAAGTGGTAGAGCGCCTGCCTGGCAGGCATGAAGCCTCAATTCAAACCCCAGTACCATTTAAAAAAAAAAGTATTGATTTGTAATATCTAACGGTCCATTTGCTATTGTTTTAAGTTCTCCCTTTGGAAAATACCTTTTTATTTGTTGGGTTTGTCTCTGAACCTGAGGACCTTGACTCTAGTTGCCTTTTTTTTTTTTTTTTTTTTAAACTGTGCTGGGGATCAGTCCTGGGACTTTGTGGCTACTGAGCAAGTGGTCTGTCGCTCAGCCACACCCCAGCCTAATTTTGTGTTTTTTTGTTTTTTTCCTTTTCACATTCTCTCATCTCCCAAACTTTTCTGTCTATTGGGCTCTTTCTTCCAGGTGTGCTGTTTCTGGCAGGGTGGGCTCTGTGACCCCCCGGGGCCTCCTGTTTTCCTGTGGAGTGTTTTCCCCCGGGCCAGTTTCCATAGCGGAAGCTTTTGCTCTTCCATCTGGATCTTGACACTGCCCAGGCCCAGGTGAGGGTAGGTGGGAGGGTGGGATCCCCAGGGCCATTGTTCCAAGTACAGCCTTGCAGTATGCCTTTTCGAAAGATAACTGCAGTACTGAGCTCTAATTCACACACTCTGAAACTCCCCTTTCACTGTGCAGTTACCGCTTCTAGTGGATTCACAGAGTTATGCAGCTAGCATCCCTAATTCTGTCAGTGCTATCCAGCTCAGGACATTCCTGTCACCCCAGAGCAGCTCTGGCCCCATTCAGTCATTCCCATGCCACATCCCTGCCCTCCTCCAGCCTCCCTTCTGCTCCCGCCATCAGGAGCTGCCACTGCCCAGGCCTGCAGAGTTCTGGCACCAGATGGGCCTCCCTGCCCTCTTGGCCAGCTCCATTGCCCAGCATGCCTTGGCACACAGTCGCCTGGCAGAGCTTGCCAGCCACTGCCTCTCCTTCCTCTCCTCTTTACCGATGCTTTATGCCACACCGTAGCTTGGCTCCCAGGTGGGCCTATAAGCAGTGCACTCCTTGGCCTTCCCCATTGCTCTGGAAGCCAGTCCTCTCTCTTGGCAGTCCCTGGAGGGACACACTTTCTTTTCTAGTTTTTGGGTGCCAGACCTCATCAGGCCTTCGGGGAGAGGCTGAGAAACGGAGGTCTACTTCCCCAACGGGGATAAGATGTGTCAGATAGATTTCCAAAGAAATCTATCTTCTACCTTAGTAGAAGCAAGTGACCTAGAGGTCAGAGACTAAGGAAAGCTGGGCCTGTCCTTGCTGGGAGGTGGCTCTGCTGTGGCCTTAATGGCTGGGCATGGGGTTGGGGGCTGCAGACAAATCCTCAGGCCGCTGTCTTTGCCTGTGTCCTTCTCTGTGAGACCAGGAAGTGAGCAAAGGCAGTCCTTCCTGTCTGTGCCATTCTTCAGTGCTGGCTAAGGTGACAGGCATCTGGATGCCCACTGGGTACCAGGCCCTGGGACAGACTTTGACACTGAGAGCAGATGGCTGTGTGGAGTTGGGGTGCTGCCACATGGGTGAAGAGACCTCACTTCCTCTGTGCGCCCAGTTCCTGGACCATCTGATGGGGGTATGGCCTGTGCTCCTCAGCAGCCCTCAACGAATATTTATTGAATGTTTCCAAGAGGGAGACTTGTGTCTGGGAAGAGGTGCTTGGTTCTGGTCCAGGCCCATGGGTGTGACCGTGAGAGGCAGAGCTTGAGCCTCAAGGTGGGAATAGAGAAGGGAGTGGGGAGTGGGAGGAGCTCCTCTTTTCTAGGGAGCTGGAATAGGGATGCCTGGCAGGCCAGAGCTCCGTGGGGCTGGATGCTGGGCCCTGAGCCTGGCCTGTGGTGAGATGAGTCTGAAAGTGACAAAGTGCCTTGTAGGCCATGTGGCAGGGCCTGTAGGGGCATAGTCAGACACAATTCCTACTCTCCATTGAAGCTCCCCAGGTGTGAGCCTGGGCTTGGCAAGGGGGGACCATATGAGAGACACCGAGGTTCTAGAGGCTGCCTTGGTAGTGCTTGGCAATAGGTGAGCCATGGGAGAGGAGCCAGGTGGGCTCAGATTCCTGGCAGTGGGACCTTGAGGAGGTGTAGATCTTTGGATCAGGAGTCTGTTGGGGCTGGGCCACATCAGTTCCATCCAAGGAGTGGAAGAGATGCAGAATAGAGACAGACCAAGGCCCCAGGCTCACTCTCCCCAGATAACAGCTTCTTCTGTCAACCCAGAGTAATCCTCAGCAGGGCTGCTCCCCTCCTTCTTCAGTGTTGAGGGTGATGCCCCCATGAGTAAGCCACAAGGATCCCAAGCTGTCCTCATGGCCTCTGTAAGTGAGCCCAGATACTGTGTGACACCAAGAGTGATGAAATAAATGGTGCATGCCTGGTGGTTGGGCTAGTGGATGTGGGCATTGCAGCTGGTAGCAACAGAGACTCAGTGTGGACCCTTATGTTGGTGTCAGTGGCCAGAGTACCTGTTGACACTCCTGCAGGCTCTGCACATGGTGGGACAGGCATCTGGAAGGGAAGCATTGATCATACTGGAGCTGGGCTTTGAGGGAAGGTGATGCAGTGGGTGGGGGAGGATGGGGGAGGTGAGGGGAAGAGTAGGAGGGAGCCATGGGGACATTCCTTCTTGTGCCTGCCTTGCAGCTCCAGTCCTGGGAAGCCACAGGCCCTGTCCTGCACCCTGCGGTGTACATACTGGGTCCCCAGCAGGTCTGTCCAGTCAGCCCTACCTTCAGGGCCTCTGGTCATCCCAGGCTGACCCACTCACCACCCTTGTTCCCATAGATGTGTGAAGTACATGAGTCAGTATCAGAGAGTTTCTTCACTTTTTAAAAGGAAAACCTTAGTTTTGATGTAAGAAATCATGTTTCCTTCTGTTCCAGTAACTATTTTCCAGCAATTTTTGGCCCACTTAAGAATTACCTTCAAGTGCAGGCATATATGCATAAAGGGTTTTAACAACTGACATTACGTTAAGTGAAACAAGCCAGACATGGAAACAAATGCTGCAGGACCTCACTTACATGTTAAAAGTAAAATATCCACTCAGAGAAGCAGATTGGGCTGGTGGCTGCTGGGGCTGGGGGAAGGCACATGTGGTGATGGCATCGACACAAATTTTGAGTGGGTTCTGGAGATGTAGATGGCATAGCACCTGCGGCTAGCAGTGCTGTGATGGTGCTTACAATTGCTCTCATGCAGGTGTTCTTGGAAAAAACCCAGTGATCACAAGGCAGGAGGAAACTCTGGGAGGTGTCTCTGGCCTTGACAGTGGTGATAGTTTTATAGATGTACACTTACCGGCAAACTCACTGAGATACATGAGATTGGTACATGTCAATCAAGCCTCATTAAGGTGTTAAAAACCTTTGCAAACAACAAGCAGGATTTTTCCGTTCTCTTCCAGAGGGAGGGCAAGGACAGGGGACTTGGTCTTTATTGTTTTAGTTTTTTCTTAAAAGCTGGGGACAGTATTTGCATAACGATGGCAGATCTGTGGAAGCATGGGCAGTTTATTTTGTATGAGATTATGGACATATTTTATGTGTACTCTGTTCTTATTCCTTTTGCTTTGTTTTGTTTTGAAGTCTCAGTTTAGTGTGGTGCTTTGTCTGGGGGTCTTGGTAGTGCTCTTGTTAGACGCTCAAGTAGAAGCCTGGAGAGCCCGTGAGCCTGCACCTACTTCATGTCCTGGCATGCCTGTCCCTGCACAGAGTGGGGTACAGTATGTGGGGTGGTGCCAGTGACATGAGAAGATTGTTGCTGGGCCTGGTGCTGCCTGCTCAGGAGGCTAAAGCCTTGGGAGCTTAGCTTCCTCCCCTGCCATAGATCCCAAAGGACAGGGTCCCCGCCCCTTCCTGTTCTCCCTGTGCTGAAAGCTCAGGCAGTGGCAGATCACCTTTCCCCTACCCCAGCTCTGATTCCCAGGAACACTACGCTCCCTGGGGAGCTCAGCCTCTCAGAGCTGCCGCCTCCAGAGAAGCCACTAGGCTTGGGGGGTGTGGGAATGGCAGGCTGCTGCTGGCTAGGCCTGTGGACAGGCAGGAAGCTCATAGACGGTTTCTCTTTCTTTTCAGTGTGCAAGGAGCCCCCCTACAAAGTGGAGGAGTCGGGTTACGCTGGGTTCATCATGCCCATTGAGGTGCACTTCAGAAACAAGGTAAGAGCCTCGAGTTGCAGCGGGCAGGACGCACAGCCCAGCGGAGGTCCTGACAGAGGACGCTGGAGGCAGTTCACAGAAAGTAGAGACCAAAGCCCAGTGCCCGGTGCCTGCCTGTGATCCCAGCACTCAGGAGGCAGACACAGCAGGATTGAGAGTTCCAGGCCAGCCTGGGCTACTTAGCAAGATTGTGACTCAAAATACCCCAAAGCAATCGACCAAATAGGAAGTGGAACTACCTAACAAGTGTGCCGGGCAAAATGCTTAAATCCCCAGTGAGCAGAGCCACTCCAGCTCGGGTGTCCATGTTCACTCCCTAGGAAGGAGGGCAACACCTGGCCACAGTCCCTTCAGCCTCGAAAATGAATAAGCATTGACCTGTCCCTGGGCAGGTTCTGTCAGGGCCCTGGGGCTAGTCACCAGGCCATGTGTGGTGATAAAGGTCCACAAAGGGTCTAAATGTCCAACAGCAGGTGACAGGAGAAGTGAAGTCATGGGGCGTCTTCTGAGCCACACCTTTGACAGTCTTCGCTGGGAAGAGTTGTTAGTGTTGTCGGATGAAGGGAGCAAGTAATGTGCATGACGTGGAAAGAGAAGGAACAAAACACATCTGCACCATTGTTGGCAGAAGCTTGAGTGTGCTGGGACTTACAGGGGTTTTTAGGACAGTGATTTTGAGAGTCTCACTCTGCAGCCCAGGCTGGTCTCAGACACAAGATCCTCCTGCCCCAGCCTTCTGAGTGCTGGGATTACAGGAATTAAGCACCATGCCTGGTTCAAAAGACTTTTTTAATTGACACAATATTTTGAGTTCTTTATAGGGTACAGTATTCTATTGTGTGAGCGATGGTGTCAGGGAAGTCAGCATTTTACCTCCTTAGTATTGCATTACAATGGTGTGTTGGGGACCTGCAGAATCTCTCAGTTATTTTGAAACGTGCATGAAAATTGTGTGACTGAAATCGGGGTTTTTATTGTCCAATCTGTACTTTCCAACATCTTTGGCCTTTAATCAGATTTGCTGCCCCACCTCTGCTGCTCTCAGGCGCCACCCAGGGGCCAGCAGGTGGCATATCCTTGATTTCTGCTAAGTGTTTTCTGCCCTGGTTTTCAGGGAGCAAGCCTCTCCAAGAGGCCCTGGGTGCCACCTACTTGCTCACTGTAAGGAATCCCTTGTTTGTACCTGACCTGCCCTAGATGTGAGGCCGCACTTAATGCTATTCTGCAAACCGCCTGGCCATCAGACCTCTGGGAGAGGTGCTCAGGTGTGCCTCCCCACCAGGAGCCAAGTGGCCTTTCACCAGGGTGACTCAGCCAAATTTTAGGTGTAAGGCCTGTTGTGGAGCTACTCAGAGACTCCAGGGATATCTGTGGTGTTTGTGGGATGGATGCCCAGAGGCCAGGGGACCATCTCCACTGGGATCAAAGCCAAACTGGGGCCAGGCGTCCTGCCTTCTGGCCCTGTGGGGTGTCTTCTGGCAGGTGTGAGCCTGGCCTCTCTGAACACCCCTCAGTGGTCCTGTGACAGGGGCCACTGCAACAGTCTCTCTTGTGATGGTTGAGGGGACTGCATGGTCCATCTGCTAAGTGCTTATGAGGCCTTAGAGTTCTGTAGGGGCCATGGGGTCTTACCCATGGCTGGCTAAGACTCCCTCTGGTTGACTTAAACTAAGTGTCTTTGAGGCTCTGAAGCAGTTTGGGGTTCCATGGGCCTGGGAGCCTTTTGTGTCCCTAATCCCTATGGTGCTGTCCTGCACGGGGTTGAGCATACAGATTGGACATTACTACCATGCAGGTGCTGATTCCTTGCCAAGAAGCAAGGTCCCACAGGTTGCCCTGGCAAGGCTAGGGAGTCTCAGTTCAGTCTCTTCCCAGAGGCAGGGTGCTCAGTACTTAGGCCTCAGCTGGATACCCTCCTCCCTACCCCCTACCCTGGCTGTAGGCGTGGCCTTGGAGGTTTACACTGGGGCCTGCACTGAGCTAGACAGGGCTGGGAGGATGCATGCAGTGTCCATGCAATGCCAGCAGAACATGCCATGCCTTCAGAGTAGCCAGGCCCCATGTCAGAGCTTTGTGACTGTGAACTTAATGGAGCCCACTCTGGGGAAGAGGAGGGCTCTGCCTTATGACCCGAGAGGCCACTGCTGGCTGAAGTGCCTTGCTCTCAGTCTCAGCTCATGGGCGCCCGTCAGGACTGCCAGATCAGGGTTGTGCTTGCCACAGGGTACAGAAGACAGAAAATTTTGGCTTTCTGATTTTGAGGTTGTGCTCAGGTCCTGAATCCCCGAATTCCCGAACCCCTTGACACTGCCAAGGGGACTGATTCTGCCCCAGCTCACGCAGCATATCAGCACAGCTGAGACAGGTACTCTGACTTGATCCAGTGTCTTCTGCCCCCTGGCACACTTATCCCTGGGGACTATGTGAATGCAGGAGATCAGGTGGGGAGCACCTGCCTGGCAAGTGGGGGCTATGTTCAAACTTCAGCATTACCATAAAGTAAAACAAGGGAATAAAAATGTGGGAGGCCATTTCAGTGCCTGGATACTTCCCTCCATCCCTTTCCTGTGTTTTGGTCTGTATTACACGTTCCACAGTGTCCTGGGGTGGAGTTTTCATCGTGTGCATGGACATCTTGTTCAGGCCTCGTGTCAGGGTAGCCACGCAACCCACAGAGGGAGAATCACAGTCTTGCTCTTATTATTTATTTTTCTGTGCAGGGGATACACCCCAGGGCCTGCTAGGCCCCAGGCCTTCAGAAGTGGAGCTGTGCCCTCACCTGGCCTGACGGGGAGCTGGTCCCACAGAGACTTCGGAGCCCCCTCCTCAAGGACAGTTGTGTTTGGAGGCAGGGTGGGGCAGGGCCTCCACTTCTCATCCTTACTCAAGATGAGGCCCCTGGGGGAGCATCATGTGTAAGAAGGTTAGATGGCCTCCCAGGGTAGGAGTCCCGAGAGAGCCACAACTCAGGTCTCCCACCTGCCTGACCCCTAGCCACACTTGTGGATTCTCACCTGAGCCTGATGACTAGATCTCAGGGCTCTTCCTGTTCTGAGTACTCTGAGGTCTATGCCTTATGACCTGCCCTTGGGGGAGGGACCTAGTGGCCATTCAGCCATGAGTGTGTCTCTGCTGGACTCAGCATGGCCATTTGTGCTGGATTTCAGGAAGGTAGAGGCCCCCTCTGGGGTCCTCTGTCCCTGCCTGCTTCTCTGGAGTCCTTGGGTTTTATTTGGGGTGTGGGTCACATGGTTGCATGGGCAGCACAGGACCTGTGTTCTTTTGCAGCATCCATCGCTTTGTTCCTTAGGCCCCTGGGTGCTAGCATGTGCACTACCGCTGCTTTCTGCATTCCTAGCATCATCTGGCTTCAGGTCAAGTTGTTTGCTTTAGGTCTGGTTTATTGAGGTATCATTTACATGCAGGAAAAGCCTCCTGTTTTAGGTGCAGCAGGGTTTTTGAATCTCAGCCTTTATTGGAAAGGTTGAGTTCCTATCTCAGGAATATGTGTGTGTCTCATTGATTCCTGAAGCAGCTATGTGGCTAAAGCCCTGGGTCCAATTCCTGTAGCAGGTTCCTTGCAGCCCTGGTGTTTTTGTTTGTTTGTTTGTTTGTTTTTTGGTGTCCCAAACATTTATTTTTTTTAATCTTTTAATTGTCATATTATTATTGTACTGGGGTTACATTGTGGCTTTTACAAAAGTGCTTATGATATATCGTAGTTGAATTCACCCCCTCTATCATTTTCCTTTATCCCCTCCCCCATTCTTAGAATAGTTTCAGCATGTCTCATTTTTCCATATTCATACATGAGTACGTATTTCCACCATATTCACCCTCCTACACCTTTTCCTTATATCCTTCCCCCTCCCACTGGTGCCAACCCCCAGACATGACCTGTTTTATCTTCCTGTCCTCTGTTTTTGAAAAAAGACATTTTTGTTTAAGATTGCTATAGAGGGAGTTCACTATAATATTTTCATGTATACATGTGTTATGTCCTGAATTGGTTCATCCCCTCCATTTTTCTCCTTTCTACCTTAGTCCTGTTTTTATGGTGATTTCAGCAGGTTTAAAAATTCTATATTCCACTGGGCCCTGGTGGGCTCATTCCTATAATCCTAGCTACTCAGAAGGCAGAGATCAGGATTTTGGTTCAAAGCCAGCCCAGAGAATAGTCGGTGAGACCCTATCTCAAAAAACCCGTCACAAAAAAGGGCTGGTGGAGTGGCTCAAGTTGTAGGCTCTGTACCCCAGTATTGGGGAAAAAAAAAAATCTATGTTCATTCTTACATAGACAGTACATCAATCATATTCACTTTTTTTTTTTTTAAGTTTTGTTTTGTTTTGGTTGTTTTTGGTGACATTGCGATTTGAACTCAGGGCCTCACATTTGCCAGGCAGGTGTCCTACCAACTTGAGCCACTTGGCCAGCCCCCATATTCACCTTCTTTACTTCCTTCTTTTACCCTCTCCCTCCTGTTAATGCCCTCCCCTCATTGTGACCTGCTTGTCATTCTTGTCCTTCATTGTTTATGTGTCTGTTCATTGTTCAGTGAAGATTTTGCCTCGGTGTTAAGGCCTGTACATACACTGAGCTCAAGTCACTGTGACCCCTCCAGTGCACTTCTCACCCTCTCCCCATCCTGTGTTGTTTAGCAGTTTTCTGTGTGTTTCCTTGTGTCTTGTTCCTGCACAGATGTGATGTACTTTATTGTAATTTGCTGTCTTTCCTTCCTTCTTTGTCCTCCTCCCTTGGTCTCCTCTGCCAGTCCCATTTTTGGATACATGTTCTGTATACATTTCTAGGTATATATAATATTTCTTGTATTTGGATTGGGCCTATATAGAGGAAACGTGTGGTCTTTGGCTTTCTGAGCCTGGCTAACTTCACTGAAGATGATGTTCTCCAGTCCCATCCATTTATACCTGCAAACAACAAGATTTTATTCTTTGTGGCTGAATAAAATTCCGTTGTGTATAAATACCACATTTCCTTA